CAAGGCACTGGTTTTTACTTAAAAACTTTCACGCCATTGGGCCTGGTTGTCTAAGAGACTGCCTCTCTCCCATCCAGTAACATCTGTCAGAGTGAGTGTGTTCCAGGCCCCATCTTTAAAGCCATCTGGTGGGACCCAGGAGGTATGCCTTCTCTGTCACAAAGCCTGCCCCCTGGAATAGTACCCCCCCCCCGGGTTTGAGTAACCCTGACCTTGCTGTCCTTTAAACAGGCCTTGAAGACCTAGTTTTCCCCCCAGGCTTTAGGTTAGGTGGAATATGTGTCCTGAGTGCACTTGTGCTATTGTGTTGGGGGTGTCAGCCCTCTGGTTCCTGCTATCTTTTATCTGTTTTATGTGACCCTGTCCCCCTCTTGTGACCCTCCGCTTAAAAATAAAAAGGGAATTCCTGCATTTGCCCATCTTTCGCCCATTTGTCCATCTCTTTATAGTAAAACGATTCTAGGCAGACATTATTTTTATAATATGGTGCTGCTCATGTCAAAGCTAATTTGACACTGCTTCCAATTCTAATGTTATTACTATATCCTTTTTACTTTCTCAGTATCTGATCTATTGCACCTGTAGATGGGTTTGTACTTTGCACTAAGCTGTATGTGATTGTTGTACTCTGTATATTCCTTAATAAATCTATATTTACATGATGGCCCCAGTGGCATGATACCACATGGTCTCATTGTGCTCTTTGTTTATTTCAGGTGCCGCTGGTGTATTGGTAGGACATCCATTTGATACAGTCAAGGTGGGTCGACTTTTCACAAACTTTCTTACAATATGTGATTAGGCCGAAGGTAGTACTAGCCCTTACAAATAGAATGGGGAAGGGATGTAGATGTTTGAGACCAAGTAAAACACGTATAGACCTTTCAGTAGATTACAGTCATACTAAAATACTTTAACGTCCCATTAAACCTTCCACAGAAATGGAGCATTTAGAGTTTCAGGTTACATCAGCCCTTGTCTGATGCACTTAAAAAGTGTTCTGAGATATGAGTCTTCAACCATATTTTAATAAGATAGTTCAGTGACATCTAATAAATCCTAGATATAGTTTTGAGCGTACATAACTCTTTTGTACTAAAATAAAATTTTAAAATGCACTTTCCTTAATCCTGCTTTATCTGGTGCACTTCTTTTATTTGCATTTGAAGCAATTAATTTGTTAATTATATTGACTAGATGACTGTTTGCTGCATGATGAAACAGTCTTGCTGATTTAATGTGCTTCTTCCCATCCAAGGAAAGATGTTGTGAGTTTTCAATGACAATTTTTATTTTCTTGTTTAAGACATGGATGTATATGGGTTGCTGTTGGAGAGATAAGTAGTAAAATTTTTGGCAAGAAAAAAAACACTAGAATTTGGGTAATATCTGTGGCTGTACAGAAGCCAGATAATATCTCAAAACAGGATTGTGAAATAAGATACAAATAATGGGAATACAGGGATTTGAGTTGTAAACATGTTCATATTTTTACTTTAGAGAAACCCTCACTGAAATCTGTGGGGATTCTTTTTGAATATTTACGTGCAGGATGAAGTTATAATGCTATAGAATATAAATTAAAGTAAAAGGGCTTAAATCCAAATATTTCAGCTTGTATGTGAATTGTGTAACCTTTTTGAAGAGAAAATGTGCTGAATAACACTCTGTAGATAATCTTATAGAGTCAAAGACTAGTTAGCAGCTATAAGTCTTAAGAAATGTAAAGTCTGTTGACTTATAAATGTATTTTTAATTATTTCATGCCGAGAAATAATTTTTGCTATGAATTCATTTTGTTAAATTACTCTGAATTTCCTTCCACATTGTTTCTTATCAGAATGAGTAGATTCTAGGAGTTACATTTAATCCTGCATATATTTTATGGACAGGTTTACAGAATGAAAGAATAAGCTGGCATTCCTGAATTGAAATTTATTTTAGTTTAATTATTTTGGTGCATTTATATTCCATCTATCACAAACATGGTATCTGTGGGATGTCTAAGTGGTTTTTCACTGGCTTTCTTAGCTTAAGAAATATGATCGCATCATGTGTCCTCAAACTGTGCTTGGGCACCAAACAATATACTTTCTTGGAAACATGTTTGACAGAGTATGCTTACAAAGCAAATGTATCATGGTTGGGAGGTTACTTAATTTATCATAAATCACCGAGAGACGTTTATAATTTGCACAATACCAACGTTAAAACAAATAATTTCTTCTGTAAATATACATGCATATAAGTTTATCTTAAATGTTTAGCTTGCTACTATGTTGTCAAAGGAATAATGATACAGCTACTCACACTGAGAGAAGGAAGGGGGATCTGTTTTGCAGACAGATTCTATACATATTTATTTGGAACTACATCCCATTGGGGGATTAGCTTCCAAGAAAATATGCACAGGATTGTATCATTACTTTCTTTTAACCTGTCAGAAATAAAACCACTGGTTTCATGAAAGGACAGTTTATGTAGAATTTAATCTTTGTTAGTCTTACCTAATATGAAAGTCTTTTCCTGAGCAAACTGAGTAGCTAGGCGCTATTTTCTCTTGAATGCTACATTTTAAAAATAAATGTAATGGAATTTAAAACAAAGTTTAGTAACTTTCCAGTAGTTGTACAGATTAGGCAGGTTGGGTTTGTGGGATGGGGAGGGGAGGGCATGTAAAATGGGGAAGATGCTGAAGTGTTTTGGAACCAGCTCTTCAAGTGGAGACTCCTCCCCCCACTTTGTTGATGTAATATGTACAATTGCTTTGTTGCTTAACTGCCTTTACTTTTTGAGCTAGGGGCTGTCTTCATTAACAGCAAAAGTGTTACTTTGTTGTAGATGACAGATAAGCCTCATCACGGGAGAGTTACCTAGTAAGTATAGACCAGGTGAACATTCTGTTTCTCTCGGTCTTAATTTATTCCAACATTTATCATTAGTTCAAATTTTTATAAACAAGCAAAAAGTACCAAGAAACATGTATGGTATATTTCCTTCCTTTTTTTAGTTTGTAAAATGTTTCTAGAGCGGAGGGAGTGGGGTGTGTAATGTCTTTAAATACGAGCTGTATTTTTTTTTTAAGAAAAGCCTAACTTTTGCAGTTTGTTCTCTATTATTTTTATTTGTCCCCTTTTCTGCTTAAAGTTTGTATACATGCGCTAACAAGCAAATGCCTCTTAAATTGTGAATTCTGTTTCAGCCCCTCTTTAAATTAGGAGCCCATTTACTCATTTCCCCATACAGCTATGACTGCTTCTGTGTTAATGCGTTTTAGGTATTGCTACTGGAATTATTTCCGGGCCCACTCTCAGTATGCTTTTTAGTGTTTTGAATTGCCAGCATTTTATTGCTACTTACCTTCTCAAAACAGATAAGAAGAAAAGCTAGGAACCAGCATAATTTAATATGGATTTTATAAAGAAATGACGTTGGGACAAAAATGGAACTCTTACTCTAAAGATGCTCTTAAGTTTCAAACTATCATTAGTTTCTGAGATCCTTAAAATAGTTTTAAAATATGCAGGTTCCAAATTGTGCCTCCAAACAGGATTTTCTGACCCTGTCAATCTAGTGTATAGACTGCTAGAATACATTGTACTAAGATTATTTAGACTTTCAGCTCATTTAGTCATAAACCTAAGTAAACTTGTAAAAGTCTTGCAACTGTGGTCCTAAAGAAAAATTCTAAGAATATTTTCACTTACAACCAGTACATTTTGAGCTTATCCATTCATGGTTCTATAGATGAGCAACACCTAATTCTTTAGAAGTATCAGATGTGCTAATTAAACAAGCTATAATTGAACAGCCAAGTGAGGGTTTACCTTACTGAAGATCTTAATTTAACATCCTGGCAAGTGACCACCCCCGTTCCATATAGACTTTAACATAAATCTGAGTGGCTCCCAAAATGCAAACTATCCTCTTTAATTTCCTGTGGCATCATGCCTGCACATGTGCATAGCTACATTATGTGTATGCACCCAAAGGTACTATCACACTGCCTGCTGATTTTTTGCCATGTCAGTAAATTCTAACTATATTTTATAGGTACGCCTTCAAGTTCAAAATGTGGAGAAGCCGCTTTACCGTGGGACTGTACATTGTTTTCAGTCTATCATAAAGCAAGAATCTGTAAGTAACTTCCTGAATGAATGTGCATGATTGCACTTAGGAGGAGGAGGAGGAGCTATTTCAATATAAGGAATATGGTCCTCTTGTTATGTTATGCTGGTGGTATTGGAACTGCAAATGCCACCTGGTAGTTTGAAAGTGCCTAGGCTACCCATCAAGAATGGCTTCTTCCCAGGACAATCAGGATCATATACAAATTGACCCCAAAATTGCTGAGGCACTTCAAACTACCCAAACCTTTGCTTTATATTGTTTGATTACTTTAGATATAGCTTAATTATTTATGATTTAAAACTATTTATACCAATTATTTATTGAGACTGTAAGCCACCAAGACTCTTGTTTGCAACAGGTAAAAAAAAATCTTTAAAAAAACCAGTAATATAGGAGGTTAAATCATCCGTGCACAGCTTGATTCGATTCAAATCAGTTCAATTGAAATAGAATTCAAGTCAGTGCTATTCATAATTTTGTAAGATAGACAGATGAAAAGATATAACATTTAATTGTATAATTGCCCTATATATATTGGTCGTAGATGGTTAAACATCACCATCCTTGTGCCTCAGTTTTCTCTTGCTCTTGGAGGTGGTCAGCCTGTCAGCTTTCCCACAGCCTGAAGTGATCAAAGCCAAGACTTTGCCACTTCTTTTTTACTGCTTCTTCTAATAACCAAACTTTGGCAATGAGAGTTGACCAGCTTTATCAAGATACAGAAAACATTTAAGAACATGAAGACCAAAAGTAAAAAAAACAAACAAACTAGCCCAATGGAAAGTGAGTATGCTTAATAGGGAATGTCGAGTCTCTTTGGAAAAGAAAACCAGGGAAGAAAAGAAGGCCTCACTTAAAATATTTACAGCATCTATGGTCCAGTTTATACATGATTATTTGGAAATAAGGCATCCTGAGCTTAATAGGACTTACTCCCAGGTAAGTATATACAGGACTGCAGTCTTGGACTCCTGGTACATAGCTGAATACAGTAACTGTTACTGGTGCCTGCTGATAAGCATGATAGAAATGGAAACTAAACAAGATGATCTGTTCTGCCTTTGAAGGCTCTTATTAGAATTACTACACAATTTGATAAGGAAATATTTTCAATTGCCAGCAAGGAAGAGTCTTCATACTACTGTATTGCTCTTTCTTCAGGCAGTTTGTTTACCTCAACATGATCCAAATGGGCCGTTTGCCTCTCATTTTCAGATTGAAGATGTAAAAAGAGCCTTGCTTTATAGGTCCAAAGAACAGGATTCTCTGTTTACTAGAAGAATCCTTTAGATTCAGTTCCCCAAAGGGTTTTGAAATGTGGGAATGTGAACGTAATATCTACCTGCAACTTCTTAAAACGGTTGTGTCCTTTCTCAGAATCAAGCAACAGCTACGAAATGCAGAACTATGATCTTGGGAAAAGGCATGGCTCCTTTAAGGTGTTGCAGATGGGTACTCTGTACGTGTTCAAAAACATTTTCTGGAGTTAAGTTCTGAAGCATTGTGCAAAATTATATTTATAAGCCCCCTTACGCCAGAGGCTCCAGATGTTGTACAAAAGATCATAATATATTACGGTAAAATACAGAATAAGCCACTAAACAATATCATCAGCAGTAGCACTAGTGGCACAAGTCTTACTGCAGCTGATAATCTCCAAAGGCTTTCCAGACTAGCCAGGTCCTCACTGCCATCCAAAGCCAGGAGGGGAGGCCATTCCTCCATAGTTCCAGCCATCTTTAAGTTTAGTTCAAGATACAAATTGCATGGATGTTTAATACTCCTAGTGGGTAGTGAATTCCTTTACAGGAAGACAGTAGATGAAAATTCATTCCTACCTAGTTGTAACGAAAGTATTGATGTGTAAGAATATTGTAGCAATATTGAACAATTGTCACAAGTTTAGAATATATCCAGAGGATATGCATAGTAATTATTGTATATGAATGTGCATATTACTGGTTTATGGCAGGCTGCAGCAATTCCAGTATCTATCTCAAAGCTTTGGGTGGTTTGGGGAAGCAAAGAAGGACAGACACCAAATTATTTCCACTCATGCCCCCAAATAAAGCTCATACAAGGTTGCTGCCTTTCTTGCTACTTTATTATTGATCTTAGTTCTTCATTTGCAAGGTCAAAACTACAGGGTTCAAACAAAAAAGAACTCCTTAGCTTCCTTAAAGATGTATACAGATGTATATTTGATTCCTAAGGGATGTGCTCTGCAAGGAAGGAGTCCGGTCTGCACTGATAATAACTACAGCAAATCATGGTAATAGTTGTCTTTATAGCCAATTCATCCCCTGATCATGGGACACTAATGTTCTCTGTTTTATTAGAATCCAATCCTGATTGGTGGAGATGGAATTAGTAATAATTTACCTTGTTCGTTCATATTCTGATAGTCCACAGAGAGATTAAGTAGTTGCCAAGTGTAAAAAATTGTATTACAGACAGAACTTTTGAAATCAGAAGCTGCACAGTGAAATATGTGGGCTTGGGAATTGTGGAGTTTATTTTGCACTTGAGGGGCTATTAGTTGTGATTTGGCTAAGTGAAGGCTTGCACACAAATATTCAATCATTTGCTGCTGAAAAAAGCAGGAAATCTTGGGGATATGATTTTTGGGTGCTGCAAGTTGTCCAGTCACCTTACACAGTCCAGGAGTGGCACAAATCTGAACATGCAGGCTTTCTAAGTAAGAAGGAACAAAAGCCTAAAGGATAATTCAGATGTTCTATCTATTAATGTGCCAAAATGAAAGTTTGCAGAGGTTTAATGGCTTAATTTTATGTTGTTTGAGAAGAGTCTTAAAATGCCTGCTTATCATTTATTTGTCGGCTTTTTTTCACCTAGGCTCTTGGACTTTATAAAGGTATTGGGTCACCAATGATGGGACTTACCTTCATTAATGCCCTTGTCTTTGGCGTTCAAGGGAACGCTCTCCGTGCTCTTGGAAAGGACACACCGCTACATCAGTTCCTTGCAGGTTCAGCAGCAGGTGCCATTCAGTGTGTGATCTGCTGTCCTATGGAACTGGCTAAGACACGGATGCAGCTGCAAGGAACAGGAGAATACAAGTTGAAGTCCAAGAACTACAAAAACTCTTTGGACTGCTTGGTGAAGATATATCGAAAGGAAGGCCTGAAAGGCATCAACAGGGGAATGGTTTCCACATTTCTGAGAGAGACACCCAGCTTTGGTTTCTACTTTTTGACATATGACTGCCTAACCAGGTATCTGGGGTGTGAGGCGGAGGACAATTACATTGTTCCCAAACTGCTTCTGGCAGGAGGCATGTCTGGCATAGTCTCCTGGCTCTCTACATATCCTGTGGATGTCATCAAGTCCCGCCTTCAGGCTGATGGAGTTGGTGGAATCATACGGTATCAGGGAATTCTGGACTGTGTTAGAAAAAGCTATCGGGATGAAGGCCTAAGGGTGTTCACAAAAGGTCTTACATCCACATTGCTTCGTGCTTTCCCTGTTAATGCTGCAACTTTTGCCACTGTTACAGTGTTCCTTACATATATGAGGTCAGAGGATGGCCAGATCAGAGGCGATTTAAGTGGATGTGAGGCTGGTCCAGTGATCCAGCAGCCTTCAAGTTTTTAAATTGACTGGAAGATAAAGTTGTACCTGTTACATATAAGATGCCATCATTTTTTTAAAAAAAATATCTGGATACCAAAATTACACATTTCGGTCTGTATAAAGCATCTTTTTAACATCTCATTTATAAAAGCAGCTTAATGCTTTAGGAAGACTCTGAGTTAACTCTAGAAATTCAGACAATGAAAGGACTTGCCCTTTTAATATGTGCTTAAAAATACATCCGCTGCATTTTTTCAATGCAGCCTTGACATCAACTCCCATAATCCCCCAGCCAATGCATTATTAAGGAAATTCAATGCAGCTACTGGTCACCAAGTTGAAGAAGTCAGCTTCAATATATTGCAGCCAGCTCGAAATGCCATACTTCGCCTATCAACCTTGATGCTAAATTCCTATTCAGACTCTATCCATGTCCAAACAGGAAGAGAAGGGAAGAATAGGGGCTTTGAACAGATAATGAAGGCTTGTATGCACAGATGTCACACCCCTTTCATGTTCATTGGCTCTCAATGCACATTGAAGGTCTGGATTTGGCTCTCTGTTCTGATTATTGCTGAATCTGACTACTCTATTCTGTTTAAAGCTGGTTGTCCTGGTAAATGTAGGGCTAAAAACACTTGCTTCATTTTCCTGCACTTTATGCAAGGGGAGCTTGTGTTCTTCCAAATAATCTTGGCTTATAATTCACAGCCATCTAATCAGTGGCCTTGCTGGTGGGAACAGACGGGGTTGAACAACTGGAGAACTACAAGTCTTTGCCCCCTCTATATTTTAACATCCTGTTGCAAGTCATTCTGTAAATGATGTAAGCTACACTTTTACCTTTTTTTAAAAAAAATTTGCAGTACCTGTTAGGAAGCCTATAGCCTCTTCCTGCTAGTTGTGAATATTTTAGGACAATGTATGAACAGCCTGCTCTATCTCTTGATCAGTATGCAGTAAGTTCACTATCTTAATCCTGCCACTCAGTATGCAGATACCTTCCCTGCTATTTTTAGATTATGGCTTGTTTTTCTGTGCTTCAAATGCACTTGTGCAGGCAGATTGCTGCTATTTGCATTTGCCTCTTAATTTTTTTTGTAATGTATGCAGTTGCATCTTGTAAATGTTTAAAAATATTTTAGTTACTACCGTTTTGAGTTGAAAGCTAGAGTAAGCTGTCAGAAATCTGTTACAACGCAAAATGTAGACTAACTTGATTGTTTTTTAGGGTGGTGGTGATATATTGCTTAAATTACAATTTCTCCATGATTGGGGTATATGCACATAATTGTGAACTATACGTAATAGGATAAAGGATGAAAGTATATTTAAAAGGATTTAACAGAAATGTATTTTAGAGAATGCAATATTTAAAACAGAAGTAGAGCTCAGTAGTTTAGGAAGGGTTGGTGAACATGTTACCTGATAAACTATCAAGCCTATTTAATAGCATACTTAAATAGAAATGCTACAACATAGTCCCACTGATATCAGTAATATACTAAGTCATTAATTGGGTTTTAGTAACAAATGTTTAAGGTTGCAATGGTATACATGCTTACCTGGATGCACATCTGATTGAACTCCAACCGAGCTGATTTCTGAAGAGCAAAAATACCACCATTGGCCTAGTGATAATGTCTTTCAGGATGTACTGATAAAACAATCCGGGCAGTCAAACATCTCTTTCACATCACTAAGTGAAGAAAAAAGCCTTAAACTATATCAGAATTTGGCATCTCCCTCTGCAGTAATGAAATCTGTAGGAGTTGCCTACTAAGTATTGGAAATCTCAAGAATAGTTAGCTTGACACTGGAAGTTTTGTTTCTGTCCACACCCATCTCACTTAAAGATCTGCTCCTAACAACTGTTCTGGGTAGGGAAAAAAAATTCTCTAATTTTATGCCAATATTTTCACATATATAGAGAATGGTGGTGAAGAACTGTATAGCTATGTGACGTTTCAATTACAGAGATTTGATTCCAAACAAATTTAAGTAGCTCTCCAAATTTAATCAACATGGAGTTGAATTGGATGCATTCTGAGGTGAGTTTGGCATATGCAGAGTATTTTTCCAAATCAATTGAGAAACATCAATCCATTTGATGTTATAATTCAAATTGAAGCCACTCTCTGCAGTCCTACAGGATTGGACATAATGTCATTACTCTGGCTGACTTCCTCACACACACTCTTCCATGGTAACATAATGTAAATGCTCATTTACCTGAGTTGGACAAAAAGATGTGGAGCTCCTCAAGTCCAAAGCAGGGATTAACACTGCCACTTACCCATTCAGGAAACACAGTGTATGAATGTCATGTGAGATTGCCAAGCAGCAAGAGGTGAGTGTAACCTTTAGACCTGACACGATTTCATTGCCCATAAGGACACCTTGATAAGTTAACACTCAGCCAGTGGTCACTATCTAGCACATAGTGAGTCATCAAAGAACCCTACAAATGTTTTAAATTGCAGTTGCACTGTTAGCTAGATCCTGCAATATAAAAGTTGTTTAAACACCACTTTTCTCACATGCTTTTAAGTACTTCCTATTCTTTTTCCATTGCTGCTCTCAAGAATGTGCAAGTCACCCTCCCCCCCAAAATTGGTACCACTTGCAGACTTAGCTTTAGGCCAGAGCTAACATAGTTAAGGTTTCCAAAGCATCAGTTGAAGGCCATTATTCTAGCTGCTGAAGAGACAAGGTGAAGAAAAGCTGGTGGAAAATCTATCAGTGTGATACAGAACAGAGGCTATATATAGAATGTACCATTAACTAATTGCAGTGGATGATAGTATTTTTGGGACAGGTGCAATATATCTGCTCAAACTCTTTTTAATAAAAATCTAGCCAATTGTTTTAACAATTATGCTGGAGAAACCTGTAAAATTGGATTGCTGCTTCTGTACCTTGCAGGTATGCTGGATGTTTTAACACTACTTGCAGGGACATTCAAATTGAATGTGAAACCCGTGTTTTTTATTGTGCAACGACACTATCCTTTTTTGTACAGTATTCTGTAACTATTGTACATAGAAGAAATAAACCTTTTTTTAAAAAAACTGTTCTTTTTTGGTGTGACTAGGTTTACATGTCACACTAAACCAGAGATGAGCAACCAGTGGGCCTTCAAGCCCCTCTGATAAGGATTTCTAAAAACTCTTATGGCTCCTATCCTATGAAGCAGGAAACATGCAAAAACTATCATACAAGCCCTAATAGGCATACAGTTCAAAAACAGGAAAATTCCCCATCTGTCAACCATTTGGCAACCTTTAGCCTTCCAATGTTAGATGTTGCCCTTGGCCTGCAAACGATTGCCCACCTCTGCACCAGACCAAGACCCTGTTATGGCTTAGCATTTTGTAAACCAAGGGCTGGAAGAGAAACAGTACATATGCTTCATTCTCCATATGGCAATACACTCACTGGATATCCCAGGGTGGTTCTACAGGTTGTGTGAGGTACAGTTTAGACCCTAATCTATCATCTAAGCTATTCTGACCAGATTTTTAGCATCTTGATAAAATAAACATGGGGTGGTTGAAGTACAGTAATTACAAGCTTCTCTCTCTTCTTGCACCCCCTTTAGTAATGAGCTGTGGAAAAGGATGGGATTTGGGGGTTTTTTGTTTTCAGATTTGACCAGTCTCTTAAATACCAGTGCAAAGGTTTACCTGTTGGTAGCAGCACTACCTTTGTTTCTCTGAAAACATGTTTGATGCCATCATAATATGAAGTGGATTCATTCCCAGTGGGGTGGTTCATGCCTACTATAATTTCTATACCTGTATCAACCCACTATTTTTCACACATTCTGCTGCTATTGCAAACGTGCCTAAAGAGCCTCTGTTTCTGTACCTATGGTATGTCTCTATGTTTACTCAAAATTAAAATATATTGGCTGGTTAGCTGTCCAGAAAGCCTATGACGGAGGAAAACATTTTTATAATGACCAATGAAAACAAAAGTTTTTTTGTTGCAACCTTATTTGGGGGGTAGGGGGTGGGAGCAAGCAGTGTCAGAATAATGGCAGCAGCATTGCGGCGTGGCCCATTCCTTTTCTATGTACATTTGACAAAGGCAGTGAGAGTCTGGTAGTAAGACTATATATCCGGAAGATATTTAGCAAACTTGGATCTAATGGTTGCAGAAGACTTTTTACAGTCTTTTACTTCCTTCCTTTCCTCCAAAACATTCCTGAACAGCATGGGCTGAATGGTACAGAGTTCAGTACCAAAGTGGCAGAAATCAGTAGAATAAACTTGCACTGATTTCAAGAGATTTGCTTTTGTGTTACTGGTCTATATACTGCTGAGCAAGGACAAGACTTAAAATTGTCTTGCAAAATTACTGGCTTCTACTCATTAAGCAAGTTGCTAACTCACATGCAAGTTATGTTACCCTCCGCTCAGTAAGTTCTAAGTTCAGTTGTCATCCAATATTATGTACAGAACATGGCAGACAACTCAGGAAACATACTTATGCAATGGAGAGTGCCACATGCTTTCTCAAGTATACACAAATAAAACTACAAATTCAGGAACATCACATCATACTGCTGCTTTTAGTTTCATACTTATTTTTGACATGTGGAACAATCAGATATAAAGGCATGCAGTGGTAACAGGCAAATGTATATTTCTAAGTACGGTAAATTCAAAGTTAAAGTCAGTTTCAATTAGAGTAGCTTAAAATTTGTTTGTTCTTTTAGAAGAATTAAGGTCTGTGTTGGGAGTGTTGGTATAGTATTTGACATTCTGTGACAGGGACAAGTAGTGGAGAGGATTAAATGATATATTTGGCTCCACCCTGCAATGCTAAAAGTACTCCTTTGGTTTTGACACAACAGCATTTAGACTTACTGTGAAGTATTTTTCTGGTCATCAGAGGAAAGACTCAACAGGAAATAGTTAACTCCACCTCCTCCTCTTCCTGTTCTATAGAGAAAACTTCCTTCAGTCACAAACACTGACTTTAAGTGAGTGTGGGTCAGCTCTTCCTTTAGTGTATATTCCCCTGTAACAACACAAATTGAAATTAAGATGTATGGAAATGGAAGAACAATGTATAAAGTTAGCATAACACAGTGAAGTAACTTGCATCTCAATCTTTGATCTCATAATCTTCTAAATAGAGTGGAACTGTCTAGTCCAATGACTGCTGATGAGAAAAGTACTTCATGGTAAGCTCAACTTGTGTTCTGCCACCAGAGATGAAGCAGTTAAGAGAGAGACATCCAAAGGTGATATTCATAGGATAGGTCAGTGTGACACTTTACAGAACTCTAGTAGTCCAGCACAATGAAAATTCATATCAGAGGATACAAATCTATTTTATAAGATAGCTGGCTCTGCCCTAGTAGCCACCCTACAAGTTACTTCTGCAGTAAAAGCCATTGATAGAAACATCTCCCTTAACAGGAGTGCTGTGAAGCATGACTCTTGCTTGGTCCAATGCATTAACCTGAATTGGGAAACGTGTATCTCCTGATTCTTGTATCTAAGAAGATAAACAATTGTTGTTTCTTTGGTCTCTAATGTACAGTTGAGGTATTCTGAGAGTTCTGTGCACATTTATCTCAGTCTAAGTGCATTCACTAGGGGTGGAACTGGGCAGAAGTTGGGAAGCACATAGAATTTGGAAAATGACCAAGGACATGAAAAAGATCTAGAACCTTCTTGCCTGGTGGAACACACGTCTCCTGTAACTGAATGAGTCCCTACCTCTCAAACCCTCCAGCCAAGATTAGAACTACCAAGCAGATTGTCTTCCAAGTAAGAAAGTCAATGGGAATCTGTCTAATGGGATTGAAGAGGCAATCAATGATACCGTCAGAAAAAAGGGAATCACTGGAATAAAAGGAATGTAAGGAAGTGGCACACATAAGCATGCCTTAAAATCAGTGCTCCCTCTCCATCTAGCAGAGTGGAGTCTAAAGCAGTTACCTTTTTATATCACATTTGTTGCCAGCCCCCTCTTTAGACCTACCTATAGAATCTGAATAGTTCATGAAGCTCCATGACTGATACCATGGGTTTCTGTATTAGTATTACCACTTGAAAGTGTGCCAGCTCAACTGATCCTAGTTGTGGATATTGCTTTGGGGCCAGGAAATCTCTGTCATCTCTGGAAGGTCAGTGTAGTGATTAGTTCATTCAATTTCCAGGATTGTAGATGTACCTATTCTAGGTTTGGATAAGAAATTGGATCTTGAGACAGGTTAAATACCACAGGTGTTCTCTCATCTCCACTTGGATAATGTGCCAGAATACAGCAATCAGAATCACCAATGTGAGTCTTGTGTCCCACCTTTAATAGTATTGGAGAACACAAAAGAAAAGGTCTTTTTGGCTATAGTAATATCAGGAGCTTGAGCCCCTATGCTCTATTGTCCTGCAGGTGGGAGAATAATACTTCATTTTTCTGTTGTCAGCTATCACAAATGGGTCAAAAGAGAGACATTCTGTCCTGAGTTCTTGTGAAAAATCTTTCTCCCTTAGAAAAATACAGGCAACCCTGCCAGTCTGGTGGTGATCATTGCCCCCTTTATTGATTCCTATGATATGGACAGGAACTGCTTCTCTCCATGTCATTTGATGTGTAGACTCTCTCTGAAGATCCTTTCATCTGGATCTGCTGTAATGATTTAAATAGAATTTGTTGTGCCCCCTCACCCGGTCTGATAGTGTTTTTAAGACTAATTGTACTGCCTTCTACTCCGCTTGATCATCAGTGTTGACTCAGAATGGGCCCGCCCCCTGCCCTTTTTTGGGAACAGGCTGTCCCTCCCATTAAGTTGGCATCTACAATTGTTTGACTCTAAATCAGCTGAATGTCAGGTTGGCTGGGACTAGCCTCTTATGCAAGGACTGAATAACTTTTCATAACAACTGTATGTACAAGTGGGGTCTACTGGATATGCTCTGATTCTGAAACAGGAGAGGGTGCTACTGTAGCAGCCAAGTCCAATGTTGTAATCCTCATCTTCTGTAGCCATGTCATTCTCTTAAATATTGGCCTTCTGGATGGTAGGATCTCTCATAACTTGAGAGTATGCACTTGAGAAGCGCTTTCCTTTCTGTCTTGATCGTACTTCCTAAGTGTGGAACCTGTTTGGATGATGCCAGAATCCTATTGGCTAGGTTCACCATGAAGCTGTGATCCCGGAGACAGCTAGGATAAGGTTCTTCGCTGCTTTTTCATATAGGGGCACTCTTATGGGGAGTAGGTAATAGAGAGGCGTAAAGGTGGACTCTGTGTTCTTAAATGGCCCAGCCATGGATTTTCCCTTGTTCTCTTGTGGAAAACAGAGAATCCTTTGCATCATTTAGGGGATTTGATACACTGAACAAAAGGTCATAGTTTGTTTGTTTTTTTGCTTCTTTGGTCCCTTTATCTGCAAATAAGCAGATGATGAGAGTGACTAGCATGAGTGGATGGACTTTTGGAAGTGAGGGTACCTATTTGAAAATTTGGGACTAAAATCTAGGATTGTGTAGAATTGTTCTGGAAAAAGCATCACTGGAAGGGGAGGTGAAGCTGACTCCCATACTTACATGGATAGCCTAAGGCCAACCAAAGCTTACCCTTTAGTTAGTCCTTGAGCCACCAAGGCCTTGGTTACAAGACCAGCTTACACCTCCTTTGTCCTTTCCTCAGGGATGTCCTTCCCTCCATCCACATAATTCCATATCCAGCACCTTTTGGCTCTTCACAGCCATCCTGTTTTTGGAAGAAAAGTCAATCCTGTGGATTTGCTCCTGTTGGGAAAGGAGAAGCTGGGTGCTGCTGCTCTGTTTTTCCCAACCTCTATCCTGCAGCACTGCTGGCATCACCCAGCACTTCATCCATTGGGGGGGAGGGGTTGAAAGGATCATCTGTCATGTGGCTTCCTATTTTCTTACCTGCCTGCTCTGGAAGCAGCCACTTCCATAATTGACCTCAGCCTTCCAGCTGCC